AGTACTAGATCCTGAGTCTCCCAGCTTTGATTTTGGCTCATTAAGATCTCCAGCAATTGGGGTCAGGAAGGCAGTGTTGTAGATTCTGGGAATTTCCCAAAATAGGACTGTTAGCTTTGGAGCCTCGGCTCCTTCCTCAGTAAATGGTGGAGGGAATTCAGTTTTTCCATTTCAGCAAACATTTCCCGAGCCCCTTCAGTGTGTCAGACCTTCAGTGCGTGTAAAGATGAATCAGTTGCTCAGAAGCCTTGCTGAGATCACTGAGGTCCTTCCCAGCTCTAAAATGCTCCCTGGATGCAAATAGGAAGGGCTTTCTTGAGTAGACAGGGCTTTCAGACTCCCCCTTCTAGCTGCTGGGACAGTCCTGCTATACACCAGGCCCACCACCAGGTGGCGCCGCTGTTTGCCCTGAACGCTCGGTGACCCAGCCTTTCTAATTGGGGCTTTCCTTGGTTTCGCTTAAGTTTTATGATCTGCCAGTGTAGGTGTACTTTAGAAATCCTCAATATAAGAAAAATCTACCACCTGTCTGCAGGCCCTAGTCCGGTTTGGGGGAGGAAAGCCATAGGATAGCCAGGTCCAATCACCAGGAATAAGAACTTCATTTTGATGTCCCTTAAAAATAAGGTAGCCCTTTGTCAAAAAAAAACAAAAACCTGAATCTCTGCAGAAATACACAATACCCTCTCTTATTCCTAAGGTCCTTGCTACCTGAAGTCAAAGTGCCCTCTTTCCATCTGATCAATAGGACATGTTCTTATTTCTTCCCTGACGTGCTTCCCACATTCCATCCTCATGGCAGCCCTCTCACGAATCGTGGATGCCTGGCATGAGCCAGGGGCTATTCTAGGCACTGAGGTGAGACAGAGTCGTACTCATTTCAGAAGTAGTCATGTGTCCCAGAGTCAGCTAATGCCCTAGCAGTGAGTCAGGATGACAGGGCCCCTGTCATCATACAGGTGACCATCTCTCTCTCTGAGGCTCCTTCAGCCAGAGCAGAAAATACATTTGCTCTCCCTGTAACTGAAGACATCCCTCTCTATTCCTCAGGTTGAGGACAAGCCTACTTCACCATTAATGGGATCCATGATGTTCTCATTCACTGTATCTTTACATACCCTCTCACTTCCCTCCCTTAACACACTGCCAGGTTTCTTCTCTCATCTGACCCATGCTGGGGGACATGGGACTA